TTTCCTTGGTGCAGGTGTGCTCTGACATGCCAGTGCAGTCTCCTCGGGATCAGGCATGGGGGTAGTTTTTGAAAGGTTGTAGATATAAAGATACTTATGGGATCGAGGGGCTGCTTGAAAATTCATCTACATTCATGCAGGGCTTCGGAATCCTCTTCAGAGAATGTTGCCAAACATTGAACTGAGAGGTCTTTCCCCCCTTTGCAGTAAATCTAAGCTTAAAATTGGCACCAGGCAATAGGCAGTGAGTAAGGGGGAGAGTGGGTGTGTAAATGATTACAGGAAATGAAGAACTAGATTTCAGCCTGGGATTGCTTCCCCCCTCCTCCCTCCACATTAGCATGGCCGGTAACTGAGTACTCTTTCTGATCATGGTATTTATTCTCTTTCTTGCTGCATCCAAAAGTTAACACTCAGCTGTCCTTCCTTCCACGTGTGCTGAGAATATGCATTCTCAGCAGAGGACAGTGTGCAAGGCACACGCACTTCCGAGCCACGCCTTTCAAGGGACCTACAAGTCCCACTTCTGTGGATTGTTGCACAGCCATCCAGAGCAGATAGACTCATAGGGTACATTGCTACCCTTCCCAAAACAGCTCATAGTAAAAGGAGACGAGGATTCACTCAGTTTTTGACATGCACATTCATAGAAAGCGAGGTTTTTAGAATGCCAAACCTCAAAAGCAAAACTGAAGCATTTTTGGCCTTTGAATGGAAAAGAATGGGAAAGGTGTCAGAGAGGGAAGGAGTATTCTTACAAATCCAATTGTTCTTAGGGTTCAGTCTTAATTTATTATTGTGTTTTTGTTGCTGAATAAGGATGAGTTGGAAATTATTTTCCCCTTTTGTGCTTTAGTGACATCATAAGTTTTCCCAATTTCCTTTTACCTAAAATTTAGTGCAGGAGGTATTAAATGGAAGTTAAATAGCTACCAGGAGTACTGTGCTCTCTTGAAATTCAGACGCACTGTCTTCTCTCTTTTCTGGAGATACAGGTGCAGGGAGGGGAGAGGGAAGTTCGTCCCTCCTCCCATTTAGGGGTGTGTTTAGGGTCCAAGGACAGAGAGGCCTCAGTTTGGCACTGGATGACTCTACTCTCTGGTGGCAGTGCTTGAGGGAAACTGTAGACAGTGTTTTGTTTTTGTTTGTTTTTATTTCTGTAAAATGGGGCCTCTGGAGCATTGAGTGCAGTGCTTACCAGAAGTCTTGCCACATCATGATAATTCAGTGAATCTCAGTCTCCTTCTTCTTGTAGGCAAACTGTTGCCTTTTCTGTCTTTATCATATCTTTTCAAATTCACCACCTGACCCACCTCCAGTCCTTCTGGCCTCTTTTATAAAGTCTCTTCTAAGCTGCACCACCTTCAGGTCATGGCTGGTCCAGCAGTACTGTGGATGGGTATGTCTATGAATCCCTGAGGCCCAGGTTTGTGGTGGTCCCTGGTTTATGCCCCTGTCTAATCCAAGGCAGAGCTGCCCAATGTAGTGGCTTTGACATCAGACAAGGCTCCAGTCTTGCATCTGGCTCTCACCAGCCTGGATCCTAATGTATTAAGTAATCCCACCCACCTGAGCCTCACTTCCTTATAACTTACTTTGTGGGTCCCACACGTTTGGCGCCTAACTGGTTAACAGCTGCTGGTTGAGTCATCTTAACTGAAGGTGCATTCTTCCCATTGGGACTGTTAGCACATCATAAGGATGTTTTTTAAAACCTCACTTAATAGCATTGAGGGGAGGGGGTAGAGGGGCCATTTGTCACCTAGCCCAGCTCAATAAACATTTTAAAGCTGTGGCCTGAGGAGGGTTTTAGGACTCCAAATCTCAATTTGCGAAAATCAGGTCAGAAGCCTGCCTGAGACACACCTTTAAGATGAGTTATGTACACAATATATTCACAGCTCCTTGTTTTAAAAACCAACAACAGGAACCAGGCCTGATGATGCAGGCCTGTAATCCAAGCTACTCAGGAAGCTGAGGCAAGAGGATGGCAAGTTTGAGGCCTTCGTGAGACCTTGCCTCAAAATAAAAAATGAAAAGGGCTAAGATGTCGTTCAGTGGTAGGGCACTTGCCCAGCAAGCAAAAGACCCTGGGTTCTATCTCCAGCATCCTGACTCATCCCCAGAGAGAACAACAATACTTTCAAATCTCCATTTAACTTTTGTTAGTTTGGGATGGGGTCTTCATGTTTCCAATAGGGGATTTTTTTTTTAAGTTCATTTTCCTTTTTTTCCTTAGCAACTGAAGTTCCCTGGGTTTCAGAATCTATTTTAAATAAGACTTCATTATTGTGAAATGACTGTATTCTTTGAGAAATATACCTAGCAGATGACCCTGCACATATCCTCACAAGTACAACTTGCACAGATCCACCTTCTGTGCTCACAACAGATGCCCCAGTCCCACCAGGCTCCAGAGATGCAGTCTTCCAGTGGGAGACTATCCTATTCCTTCCTTGCAGTTTTCTTGGTTGTAGGGGAGGTGAATAAATAAGTAAAATTTGTTTTCTATAAAAGAAACAGGAAGTAGTGATACAAAGTGATACGAGAATACAAATCACTAATGATGTCACCCAGGCACTTGTTAGATTTTCCATTCTGTTTCTCCAGAATATGTAAGCATGTAGCTACTCTCAAATCCACCAAGGGTGGGCCACCCCACTGTCTTTGAAGACCCAGAATTATTTGTTTTTAAAGGCAAGAACATGCCAGAACAGGACTATAAAAATGATGGCAGACACCAATGTATTTTGACATATGTGTCATGCCCAACACTTAACTCAAAGATGCACTGATGTGGGTATAATGGGTGGGGACAGAGCGGATTTCTCCCCCCATCTTCATCAGACTAGAGTCTTTAAATATACTGACAATAATTGACAAGGGAAAGATTCACAGGAGGAAAAAAAACACACATGTTTATTTATGGGCACAGGACATCACAGGAGGGCAAGTACCGAATCAGTCAATGAGGTCTAGAAGCTCATACACCCTCTTCATAGGGGAGAGGAAGTGGGGGAGGTGGGCAGTTTTTAAGAAAGAGGGGGACAGAATGAGGCCAAAGGGGCAAATTCCACTTGGCTGTGGGTGTAGTATCTGATTTTCCATCACTTCCTGCATGCTATGAGTTTCATCATCTTCTGTTAATGACATTTCAGTAAGATGATTGAAAGCAATTATGCTCCTCCTAGGTGGATCTGTTCTTGGATAAGGGAACTTCAGAAAAAGAGAAAAGAAATATAATGTGACATCTCTATGTCAAACATACAATTATATGTCTCTTTAGTGGCTTCACCAAAGGGCGTTGTATGTAGGTACCATAATATATTTAATAAATCCTCTCCTTAGATATCTATTTCTTATTTCTTTGCTAGTATAACACTCTTAGAAATATTCTTGTCTTGCTGCTTATTCATACATTTTATTCCTTTCTTAGGATGAGATGAGAGTTCTAATTCATACGGCAAAAATGTTCTCACATATTTTTAAGGATTTAAATTTTTCTTTCAAAAACTGGTATTCTCATTTTTAGAAAAGGAAAGCAAGTCTTCCCATGCCAGAGTTGGAATTGGGCTCTTTTACCCCAAACATCACTGCTTCTGAGCTGAATTGTCTTAAATGCCAAGAAATACCAAGCCCAGTAACATATGGAGCTCAGAGGCAAAGAGCTGTGGTTAGGTATGGATTGGCCAGAAAGGCAAGCATGGGTATTCAGGGTCAAAGGTGGGGTTGCTTTTAAGGCACAGGGGTGGGGAGGCCCACAGGGCACATGGAGCTACAGGATCTATAGCTTGTGCAGCTATTTGGTTGGAGCAGAAAATGGAAATCAATGAGTGAGTTCATTCTCTGATGCCAGGCTGGGGCCAGAGTGAATCCAGCCTTCATTGTACAGCCTAGACCGAGCTGCTCTGGGGTCTTCCAAGCCCAGTGCCTGCAAGGGTCCCCAAGGTCACTCATTCTTGGCCTCTCCATTCTCACTCCCTCTATAAGCTTTGCCCCACTATGCAACAGTTTCTAACAAAACTCATTGGATGAAATGATGGAGGTCTCCAGAAAAGAAAACTTAGGGAGCATGAACTCATAGTAACTCTGGGTCCTTCCTCCCGCCCTGCTGAGCCAGCCTTCCAATTGCCTACCGGCTCCATGCTTCCATTCTTGGCTCACCCAAAACCAAAATTTAAGAATCTGTACTCTCCAGCCCCCCGCCCTCCACCCATTTGCAAGCAAGCTCCTCTCTCCCTCTGCTTCTGTCCAGAGTTTCTCACCTAACGCTGAACTTCAGCCCTGCAGCCCTGTCCCACAAAACCCTCTTTCCCCATTACCTCCCACACCATCCCGGACTCGGCCTGCCAGGAACGAGGAGGTCCCATAGAAAGCTACTCTTCCCCATCTGTTGAATCCTGTTTATCTTTCCAGCACAGACCACATTCTGTCATCTTTAAGAAGTCTACTCAGAAACCACATAGGATATCTCTGTGGTACTTACCAAACTCTCTGATGTTAACTGCCTGGATGCCAACCAATGAATCGGAGCCTATGAATTCTCCTTTTCTATGTGGGAAGAATTCATGAGGCCTTGCACCCCCGAGTGTCTGTGACTTGTGCACTGGTCTGTGAATGAATGAGCTGATAGGCAAATGAGTGAGAGGAGACTAGTGAAGCAGAGTTTATTCTAAAGGAGCCTGTTGGCTCCAAGATTTCCCTCAAAGAAGGATCTAGACAGCATTCTGCTCAGAAGGGGACTTGAAGCTCCTTATCAAGTACAGAGAACAACACAGGTCCAACTAAAAGAAGAGAGGTGAAAACCCACGGAGATCCAGAGGGAAGACATCCTCTTCTGACCCTGTAACAGCCTTCCCGGGTTTTTGTCTTACCTTTCACAGGATTTAATACTTTCTATTGGTGTTTTTGTGTTGCCGGAGGTTTTTATGTTGACTGAATTACATCTCACTCTTTTTGAAAGAAAACCTGTTAACATATGTGTGATCTGTTTCTTGTAGGCAACCATGGTCCTGAGTTCTGCATACTTCTGGTTGGGATTAATTCTGGTTCCTACTGCATGTTTGCTCGAAGATGTGGCATGGAGAGCGTAAGTAGAAAATGAAGTTGTAGACCTAAGTCTAGCTCACCTGTCCTTAACAGCATCTCTCACCTGAGCCCTGTCACAGGATATTAAGGGCAATGGGAATTCTGAATAATAGATTTCCTGCCACCACTCAGAGAAAAGGGTGGTGGTGGTATTTTTGTTTTTGTTTTTAACTTGTGCTTCATCTTAAAAATGAAAATTTAGACTCAAAGGAATCCCCAGAGAGTCTGTGTGCAGGTCAATAGAGATCTTTCCTTGTACTTAATCCTAAGGAAGAGTTTCTAAATGCAAATTCATTTCATCAAGTTAAAGAAAGACAGAGCTGCTCTGGGGTCTTCCAAGCCCAGTGCCTGCAAGGGTCCCCAAGGTCACTCATTCTTGGCGTCTCTGTTCTCACTTCCTCTATAAGCCTTATCCTGTTCCTCCCACACTCAAACTTCGTTCTGTTTATATCTTAAACTCGATGCTAAGTGATCACAAACATGGTCTGCCTTTAAATCCCCATGCTTAAAGGAAAATTGTGTAAATGTAAGTCATGGCAAATGAGAAAGAAGAAGTTGTCTTCATTTTTCCAAACAATTTACAGTAAGAATCCTTCCAAAAAAATTCTTCTAGGGACTTAGTTTACAGATCTATGAGAAAATCAAATCACAAAAGTAAAATTATAATGTAGGTTGAATAGGAAATAATTCCGGCTCAATTTTTGTTTCTATACTTTAAAATACATTGTTTCTAATTTAAAAAAAAAAAAAAGTTCTCATGACATTGTTAAGCACCCCCCAACACACAAGGAGGTTCCAGTGGAAGCTGGGAGCAAGCAGTTTCCAATTTAAAAAAAAAAATTCTCACTGTATGTCTTGTGTATCTTGTGTACAGTGTAGAAGAAGCAACTCAGTCCCAAGATAACATAAATTTTAATTTCATCCAGGAACAAAAGAGATCTTACTCCAAATAAGATGATACTGATTTTGGTGTGAGTAAGCCCAGTGCCTCCTACAAATAGTTGCCAGCATCCCTGAAAATTGAAACTCCTACCTTGGCTTTCCTTTGGGCAAAGCATAATTATTTTGAAGCCCTGAGGTAGAGAATCGAGACTTTAATCCAAATGGTCCAGAAAAAGACATCAGATTGCATTTTTATACTCCTGTTCCTCCCACACTCAACGAGAATTATTCTTGCCTGACAGTTAAGGATGTCTTTTGAAAAAGTCTTCTTTTTTGGCATTATCTTGACAACCCAGGATACCTAATGCAACAAGAGAAGGGTAAAGGAATTTTATAGCACCTAGTTTGTTTTTATTTTCTTTTGCTTATTAAGTTTTCCAACTGTTAGTAAAAATTAAATAATTCTAACTTCCTAAATGTTTTGACTTACCCCTATTTTCATGTTAGATGTTAAAACTGTGTTCTGTAAATATCAGAATCAGAATTTTTGAAAATGAAATGTGGATTATGAGCAGAAAAGATACTTTCTTAATCTTAAAAAAAATAAGAAAATATTAGTTCTACTATTTGGGTTTTTTAACAGTAAATATGTAACTTTATTGAAGGAAAATCTTATGCTGCTTAAGACCATACAATCATGGTCTTTTTGATCTTCAATTAGTACAGTGTTTTCTAATACACCCTGCTTCTGATGCTAAAGATAAGGACAATTTATGATGAGAATGGAGATACGCAGGTAAAGAAAACTCCAATTTCGCATCCTACTGTTCTTCTCAATCCACAGAGTACTTCTTGCTAATACCTATAGTATACAGTTGTAGTTGGAAATTTAACCTTGGCATAAACTCTGCCTATATCTCTGCTATCTCATATGGTAGTCATTAGCCACATGTGACTACATAAATTTAAATTAATCAAAATTAAATTTTTGTTTTTTGAGGAGTATGCCCAGTGGTGGCACACAGTATGTTTATTCCCTAGCTGAATTTGTCCAATTCAATGTTGTAAGAGCGTCCATTTTAGATAAATACAGCATGGCAGCATGGCCTTAGCTACATCAGATAGTTTTTTTCAATGTGAAGTGATTGAGAATTAACAACATGCTTATACATTAGTCTCAGACTGTCTTATTTCTGCTATCATAAAGTTGAGAATGTGTTTTTTGCGGTACTGGAGATTCACCCGAAGGGCCTTGTGCATGCTGGGTGAAGTACTCTACTATTGAGCTATGTCCCCAATCCAGCTATCCTAAATTAATGTTGTGAGAACTTTTTTTTTTTTAATTGCTACTTTTGCCAAATGAGACTTTAGCAAAAGAATCTTTCTTCCACTCAAAGAGAGTGTTTGTAGATTAAAACGTCTACATGCCTCCCTATCTGTTCTCTGGATCCTTTCCAGTGCATTCCAAATCCCCCCAACAGGACTTGTTTTGGGTTGTGTTTGTAGTACCCAGCACTATAAAATTAGCACTATTTACATTTTAACAATGATAAGCCAAATGACACTGCTTCCAGCTCCACCATATGGAAAGAGTAAAGTGTCATTTCCTTTCCAAGGAGTTTGCCAGCTGGGTTTGAAGCAGGGACCAAGGCCCCGCCAAGGAGGTTTCAGTGGAAGCTGAGAGTAAGCATGGAAGGTTGGCCTTACAGGCTTATGTCCAGTCCTAGCATTGGCCCAAATACAGCTTTTCCCAGGAGTGACAGCTCAGATTCTGGCATACTTCCTGAAATGTGTTTTTATCTTATTTTATTTGGGAAAATAGTCTTCTGGGGCACTTGTCCAAAAAATATGCCCAATTTATATGTCTGTTTAATGTCTAAACTACAGTTATCCCCTCTCCAAAAACAAGAATTTTGAGAATATCTTTGGGCATTGTCTCTCTGATCATGAGGCCTGTATTGTATCTCATACCCCAACTCTGAAATATTCGTGCAAGCAAATAAATTTGGAGGCTCATCCATCCCAAGGGGAGAAATCATATTATGAATGCTCACCTCTGGGGAGGCCATCGTGCTTACCTATGAACTGCACCTTTAGAAAACATGTTCTGTTTTATAGGATTTGTTCTCCCCTACCCCTTCCTATACACGCAATGAAAAGGTTAATCCTGGTTGTCCACAAGCATCCATCAAATGGTTTCATTTGTCAGATATTCATTGCTATGATGCACCTTGAACCTCCAAAGAGTTTTAAATTAGTGGATATGAATTAAGGAGCAGCTGGGTTCAAACCCACCCATGTGCTTCAACTCCCAGCTCTGCAGAACTTGGGTAATGGCTGGGCATGGCAATGGTAGGGATCTTCGGATAATACTGCTGGGTGTTCCAGTATTGCCTTGGAATATTCAAAGAATTATTTCTTTGGTCTTGAATTTTGTGGTAATGCTTGTCCACTCTTGTTCTTTTCTCTCTCCTTCCTTCCTTTCTTCTTTCCTTCCTTCCTTCCTTCCTTTCTTTCTTTTGAGATGAGGTCTCTCTTTGTGGCCCAGGCTGGCCCCAAACTCCTGGGCTCCAGCAACCCTACTGCCTGAGCCTCCAGAGTTCCTGGGGTTACAAGTGCGCACCATTTCACCTGGCTGGTTATGTTCTATTTTGAAAGGGCTTTAAAATCCCAGCAAATGGCTGCTGCCTTATTCAAATAGACTTCTGTGAGCACCTAAGAAAGTGAGCGAGTTGCTCCATCTTTCTACATTTTCCCCCTCTCTTTGCCCAGTCTCTCACTTCCAATTCAGGACCTGGACTGTTAAGAAGAGAGAAATGGAATGAGGTGATTCAGTCATTTTTTTTTTCCATGAAGTCTGTCAACTTTCTGGCTGAAGATCCATTATTAGACTATCTTTGGTCAGATTTGGATTGTCATAAAATGCTGGCCCTATTATTCTGTTCACTAGAATTTTTATGAAGGACCAAACTAGCCTATCTTTTATTAAATAATTGGTTGATCACATGTGATATATGTGATCAATGAGCAGTCCTATTAGAAGCATGAAGTGTAAATTGCCCAAAACTATTTTAACACCCTTTAGCTTACACTCTTCCAAATGTTTACCTATGACAGCATGCTTAGGTGAGCTGCCACATACAGATTCTCATCTAGGAGAAATTTGTCAGTTTTACTTTATAAAAATAATACAAGTTCAAGACCACTGAGCAGAGAGGAACCAGTTTCCTTTTCTTGTACTATATCTCCTGCCTTTTACCAGGCATCACACAATACATTCCCCAATTCCAGAATGACTTCATTTCCTTCTTATAATCCCAGATAGGCAGTTAAATGGCAATAAAAGGTAATAAGCAATTTATATATATATATAAATGGGCCTTGATTTTTTTAACATTCTAACTAAACCAGTTTCTCTTGAAGTACATTATATTTCCATTTTCATCTGCAGTTAGAATTTAACATTTCCTTCAGACTTGCTGTCTTTACACACAAAAAGAGAACAGAAAAACATTTCACAAAGATGAAAAGTTCAAGATCCTAAACCAAGCTATTTCTTTTAAGAGATACCCTTAGCTGTATCTGAAAGCTCAAAGGGACTCCCTGTCAGTAACCAGTCACCCTCACTCTGACCCTTCTGTGGTCTCTGGCGTCTTGAGTGGGGTGACAAACAGCAAGCCTTGGGTCACTGGGGATAAGCCCTTGACAGATAATTGGTCTTATTCTCTGTCAAAGCTGCAATCCAGAACCTGGCTTACAATGAAACCTAAATTACATACCAGAGGCTAATACTTAGAAGTCTGCCTTAATAACCCATAATTGAAATTTTTGTCTACTCATGTAGACTTTGACAACGAAGATTTTAGACTCATTTTTCTAATTCAACCTTATTAGGAAAAGGTGCTCCAGAAAATGGTTTCAAATTGCTAGCATCCTTTTTATTCAAGTGTTTACATGCACAAAGAATAGCCTGATCATTCCCAGCATTGCAACACTGTGTTCCCAAATAGCAGTAGCATTTCCAGGCCAGCACCCAGGAGCCAGCCTAGTGGGTATATTATCAAATTACTGAGAGACACTTTGATACAGATGGTCCTGAAGTTAACAGTGGGGGCCGATCTAGAGGTTGACAGTCCTGTGCAGGAGGAAGATAGGATGATGGAGTGAAGATGGTCCTGAAAAAAGTGAGAACACATATTCATTCTTCAGGACTAGCCAGACATGAGCTCTGGAACCTATATATGTGGGATGACTCTGAATGGGGTGGGGACTCTGATAATAAGCTACTCAGTTGGCTTATTATCAGTATAATCCCATAAGCCCAGGAGATAAAAGGTAAAGTTTGGGACCCAGCTATTCAGTAATATTGAACAGTACACATTTTAACATCCTTTGCAACTATCTCCTTTCCTGCAAGATGTTGGCTGTTTTCTCATTTATTGCTTAAATTAAAATTCCACAGAGTCTGCTTTGAACTGTGGTATTTTATCAATCCCGAGTCTTGGGACACTGTTTGAAGTAATTAAGGTATTACGTGTTAAAACCTGTGTGGTTTTTCTCTTGTTTACTTTGTGGGAAAGGATGACAGAAGCATATACAGTGTCTTGGTGCTAATACACCATTATAGATTAACGTGGAGTGTTAGATGACTCGGCCTTATCTCAACAGGCTTTCTGTCCTTGAAGGCAGAAGTCAGGCAGCAGGAGAATGTGATTCTTCGGAAATAGCCCACATCGTCAGAATGTTCCCAGATCATGGTTTTCACTTCTGTACAGAAGTGCTCAGTTGTTCTTTTTATATCTTGGAGTTTTCGCCTTTATTTATATTGAAAAGAAACTAATGCAGCGCTTTCCATAATAAAGGAACCTGGAAAGTATTGCTAATATATGAGGCCTTTCATTTTACCGTGTTCCTTTTCCCTCATCTAGTCTACACCTTGTGAAATATCTTTTTTTTTCCCCCATCTATATCATTTCCAACCAGTAGCTCAATTTTAGCTTTGTTTAGGCTCAATTGTTTAAAAATTTCAGGGCACAGATGCAAGGTTTATTTAACAAGGAAATAAAAGAGAGTACTCTGGTATCGTAAACCCCATTACTGCTCTGACAGTGGCCCTTCTCACACTAAACAAGGAGGAGGCACTGCTAACCCCTGGGCTCTCTGATGGCTGTTGGGTAAGGATCAAGGAGCCACAGGAAGAAGACTTCGAACATCTTCCGGAGCTTCTGCCTCGTCCAGAGGGCATCTAGGAGTGGTGGGCAGGAGGTGACCAGTCTTCCCAGATGTGTCAAGTTGACAGGCCGTATTCTTCGTGTCTTCTCCTCCTGATACAGGGCCAAGCATACCTACAAAAAGACGTTGCTGGAGGAGGTACAGGAGCTGGAAACCAAGACCAGAGTGATGGGGAAAGCCATGCTGCGGGACAGTAATGGAAAGAGGTGGGTAGTTCCATCGGATTATGTGAAGGACATAGCGCTTTTGGCCCTCCTCCCTAATTTCCTTCCTGTGTTTCTTCATCTCAGTTTCTGATGAGAGCAGCGTGCTCAGATTTAAGCTTTTGGGTTACTGTGTGAGAACGTCATCACAGTGAGATTTAGATTGTACCCTCTGACCTATCTGGCCCAGTCCCACCTATACGACTGGGGGTTTTATTGGGTTTGGACACTGTACTAGTCAGCTTTTTGTTGCTGTGATTAAAATACCCAACAACAGCTTAGAGGAGAAAATGTATATTTTGACTCATTGTGTCACAGTTCTCAGGCCACGGTCAACCATTGCTCTGGGTCTGATGTGAAGCAGACCATCATGGCAAAAGCGTAGAGGGAAGCCACTCAGTTCATGGTAACCAGGAAGCAGAGAAAGAAACTGAGGCACTGGGGCCAAAGACACACTCCCAGGGACCAACTTTCTTCTCCCACACCCCACCTGCCTTTAGTTACCACCCACTTAGGCCATTTGAACCAGGATGGACTCATTAAGTTTCATTTCTCATTATCTAATCATTGCACCGCCCACATTAGCATAGGAGCTTTTGGGGGACACCTTAAATACAAATTAAAACTGGCATGAACAAAAAAACTACATGCAGAGAATTGACATTGGAACATGCTATTTCAAGGTGGAAGAGTGCATGTTTAGCAGTCTTACCAAAGAGGATCTTAAAGTCAGGCTTTTAATTTCAGACCCAACCATTGTACCCAAGGTTGAGCATCTGTCATGAAGTTGTGCATGCTGAATAAAGCATATTTTTACTTACTTGTGTAAGTCTGTTGTCCCTGGGGTTGGGGGTTGTTTTGATGAATTACTGTTTTCTATTGAGTTGAAAAAGTTCCTGGGAATTATGACACAGAAGCTACTGCTGGCTATCCTTGCCTTTTGGAGGATCAGCCTGCTCTTTCCAGCACTTAGCAGTATGCTGTGTGAGAAGTATTTACTTCATCACATAGACTAAAATGTTGTTAAGTGCATTTGTTTAAAAGCTGTATTACCGAAGGAGATTTCCCTGTAACTGGGAACATCTGAGTACTAGAAAGCCAATGCTATCTTGGGTATATGAAATGTCTAGAAAATTCTGTACCATTTTTCCTTGTAATTGCTTAAAAAGAAATCTGTAGCTGTTAATGAAACGAAGATCTAGAAGATTCATAAATCTAGAGATTCCTGCTTTGTTTTGTTTTATATCATACTTATTTGGATATTGTACTATCTTTTTAAAGAAATTAAGACAAAGCAGGTTTTTTTAAAAGAAGGAGAACAAATATTTTGAGAAGGTTTTAGGCATATTATTTCAAATAACTAGATGTTTTAGGAAAAAGATTTCAGAGGATATAGTTGAAGTTGTGGTTTGGGGTTTTATTTAAGGCTTGTTTTCTAATAAGTGAGTACTTTAAGCATTCATTGTGTGGTAGTCATGCTAATTACCATAAAAATTACTAGACACCAAGACAAAAATTATTGTTTTCGATAAATTTAAAACTGTGAATATGTGGAGGCTGAGTTTACAGCAAGCAGGTCTGCATGTAGCCACTGTGCAGTACAGCACCAGGCTAAGGCATGGACAGGGTGCTTTATCTGTCAGACAGTGGAGGCAGGAACATGGTGCCTACTAGATTTTCAGGAACTTGCAGCATTCTTTTGAGACCTGAAAAAAAAAAAATTCCATTTGTAGGTTTCAAAGTTGAGCTAGGGGAACCACAGCAAATTGAAATTGGAAAATGTTTAAAAGCTCTATAAAATGTCTACCTGTCTCAATACCTGTTAAAAACTTAATAAACACAATAAGTTTTATCACATTTGGAAGCAGTCTGCAGGCCTTCTTGCACCTCATGAATTCTTAAGCGTAAGAGGATTGCTAAACAAACATAAGTAATTTAATTTTTTGTTTTGGTTTTGGTACTGGGTTTGGAACCCAGGGTTGCTTCATCACTGAGCCATATCCCCAGCCCCTTTTTTTTTTTTTTTGAGACAGGGTATCACTAAGTTGCCCAGGCTGGCCTTGAATTTGTGATCTGCATGCCTCAGCCTCCCAAATAGCTCATATTACAGGTGCATGCATCACTGTACCTGACTCAGGCATAAGTAATTTCTAAGTAAACTGGGAATTTCAAAGCTAAATTCTAAACTACATTTTGCAGGAAAGCATTGCTTATAATGCAGTAAGAGAATGTGCTTTCACAAGCTTGCTGCGATATGTGACAGGGCTTTTGAAGTTCTGGACCTGAGGTCAATAACGAGTACATTCAGAAGAGTCAGCAACAGGCCATCTGCCTGGTGTTACCAAGAAAGAATTCATGTTGGAGATGGGATGGGCAGCAAGGCTTTGAGGAAGTGAAGGAATGAGTAGAGAGCAGCAATCAGAGTGTATTTCAGCTAGAGGGACGTGCATGCAGAGGCACAAGCAAGACTGTGCAGAAACAAACCAACTCAGTTTAGAGGGAGATTTCTCAGTGATCTGGAGAAGGCATTTGAATTCTGAGTTGCTTAGCTGTGTGACCTTGAGCAAGATGGTCATATGATGAGAATACTTTGGGTGGTGTGCGTAAGGCTTATGAAATAGTACACAACAACACAGCAGGCTGCCTGAGCCCTCATGGGGATGCAGCATGGCAGCTTTGAGTATCCAGTTTGGCCAGAGAGTGGTAATATTGAAGGGAATCCTGCCTGGGCTGTCAATCCTAAAAGAGAACATGAGCCCCATCTTTGCTTGTTGATAAAAAGAAAGTAATTATTTGGTGTGTGTAGTGGTGCTGGCAAATCACACCAAAGTTCTCACGCTTGCTGGGCAAGCTACATTCCCAGCCCTCAAAACTTTTTTTTTTTTTTTTTTTTTTTTTTACCCCTAGAATGTGGATTTATAACTTTATTTTTTTCTGGTGCTTTAGTTTTGTTTTGTTTTTTTTTTTTTGGTTCATTATAATTATACACAATGGTGGGATTTGCTGTTACATATTGGTATATACACACAGTATAACAATATAATTTGGTCAATATCCTTCCCTAGTATTTCCTCTCCCTCCCTCCTCTCTCTCCCTGGTTCCCTTCCACTATGTTCTCCGTCTGAGAACATAATTTTAAAAATCTACCTATCCTGTTCAAAATTCACTTTTAAATGTTCCAGTGCATACCAGAAGACAGAGTTAAATGGGGTTTCTTTTGAAAAAAAAAATCTCTGTTCTGGTCCCTTGGTAATTTGCACAACTTTGTAGTTGATGTCATTGTGTGTGCATGCACATGTTGTGTATGAGGGTGTATATGTATGTGTGCATGCACCCACATGGTTACAGCATGATTCCTTTTCTCCTCCCAGTGCTGCACTGTGGGATTGCTAGCTACAGTACAGCATGGGGACATGGCCATCGCCTCAGCACCCACCCTTTGTTTGTTTCCCTCCTAATTGCTCCAGATTTTCTGGGTGGTCCATCTGCAAACTAGATAATGGTGGCATGCTGCTCTCTTAAGAGGGGATTTGTCCTGCTTGGCCTCCTGAGAGCTGCCCCACAATTGTTCTTTTATCACCTTCATTTGCTTTTTTCACACCTGCTTGGATTCTGGGAGGGGTGGTTGGGAGGGGCAAGTGGGGGAGGTTGAGACTAGAGGCCAGTTCAGTTAAAGATTTTACAGACTCCCTCTTTGAGATTCTAAGTATTTTTGCCACTTCTTACCTTTCCCATTTCTTGCCTTTCCATTCCTTCTTCTCTTGCTCACCTAATTTTTCTTTTTACTCTAAAATTCCTCTCTGGTTGTTAGTCTGGCACATAGTGGAAGCTCTATAAATATTTGTTAACTGACCTGCTAAAAATGCAAAAGTCTATGGAAATGGCATGGATGAAAGAAAGGAGATCTGGTGCCTGAGGTGTCCAGCTCATTTTGGGAGTGGCCACAGAGAGAAGCTGAGAGAGTGCAGTCACTCAGCCTTGGGGGGCGGGG